CAGGAAAAATGTCCTCTTAGCCCTAGCCTCCGGTACTTATACCCGCCCCAAATTTCTCTCAATCACCCGCCAACTTTCCCGCTACTCCATTCCCTTCCCGCCTGCTGCTCCCGCGCCCATCGATTTGGCCAGTGGCCATCACCTAAACGAGACGAAAAACGGCCATTTCGGCGCCCAGAACCGTTTCGCCGCCGTTTCGTTTAGGTCGTCTTCAACATTTCTTCCCCTCTTTTACCGTCTAGACGGAAAACCCGTTTAGCTGCCCGCCTAGGCCCTAAACTCCACGTTACCCTGTCGATTACCGTCTAAACGCGTTTAGACGGACGTTTAATACCGTTTAGGAAAACACTGACAGGTTGACTAAGGTTGCTCATTTCTTACCAGTATCGATGAATATGTCTTTGGACAAGTTGGCTGAGATCTACACCCGTGGGATCATTCAACTCCACGAAGTGCCCGTCACTATCGTGTCAGACAGAGATCCCAGGTTCACAAGCATATTCTGGGAGAGTTTGCACAAGGCAATGGGCACGAGGCTAAAGTTCAGTTCAGCCTACCATCCGGAGACTGGCGGACAAACCGAGCAGACTATTCAGACGTTGGATGATATGTTACAAGCTTTGGTTGATGACAGAGGTGCTAAGTGGGAGTCGTTATTACCATTGGTCGAGTTTGCTTACAACAACAGTTACCATGCTTCTATTTAGATGGCTCCTTACGAGGCACTTTACGGTCGTAAGTGTCGTTCCCGTCTTTATTAGGACGATGTCGGTGAGCGTCGAGTACTCGGTCCGAAGATGATCGAGGAAACCGCAGAACAGGTCGAATTGATCCGGCAGAGACTCAAGACAACTCAGAGTCGGCAGAAGTCATCAGCCGATCAGCATCGACGAGATATCCAGTTTGAGGTTGGCGAGCTAGCTTTTCTCAGAGTTCGTCCATTCCGCGGAGTCATTCGATTCGGGAAGAGAGAGAAGTTGCACCTCGATTCATTTGCCCATTCGAAGTTCTCGAGCGAGTGGGCAAAGTTGCGTATCGATTAGCCTTACCTCCCGAGTTGTCCAGTATTCACAATGTTTTCCATATATCCATGTTACGCAAATACGTGTGCGACCCCGAACATGTCATTCCGCATACCGATATTCAAATCCATCCAGATTTATCTTACGAGGAGCGACCGGTAGCTGTGTTGGACCGGCAGGTTCGACGGCTCCAGAAGCGTGATGTTCCCCTCGTTCGTATTCAGTGGGATCGCCACGGAGCCACTTGGGAGCAGGAGGCTGATATTCGTGCTCGTTTTCCCGATTTCCAGTTCTGATGTGCATATTTTCTTATGTTCCATGTATATATATATATATATATATATATTCCGTTTTGTATTTCCGAGGACGAAAATATTTTAAGGAGGGCAGATTGTAATAACTCAGTATGTTATTAATGTAAATTACGTGTTTAGTTCTGAAATATTTATGTTATCAATCAGTATCGTTCGGAACTAATTATTCAAGTCAAGAATGTTCGAATTAATTTTCGAATTCATGTTTATGCTCGAGATAATTTCTAAGTATTTAATTGCATGTATTATAAGTTAATCCATGTCTAATCGCTCGACAAATATTTTACCGAGCTTAATCATGTTTAAGTATGAGCTAATTGCCGTGTATTATCAAGCAATAGTGTCAATAGTGCTTAGCTTAAGCCTAAACAAGGGTCATGCACGCCCAACACACCCCATTAGCGCGGCAATGCTTAGCTTAGTTCAAGCAAGATTAATTAGAGCATGACCACGCTTAGCCCAAGTAATTGCCGAGAGTTACTCTTCCCCACTCTTCACGTGAGGTTTCATCATTTCTTAGTACACATGGAAGATTATGGTTCACTAGGAGTATGACTAAGCCAAGTATTTGGTGACTAAGCACACAAGAGGCCACCTTATGCCCCTATCGCACGGCAAGTGGCGCTCGGCCATTGGCCGAGACTTTCACCCCAATTTTCACCATCGTTTAACCTTCTATAAAATCTGAAGTTGGGGTGAAAATATGGCTTACGCATAAGCTAAACACTAAGCAAAAGTTAAGCTAGATTAAGTTTTCTTTACACGCACGCACGCGCGAGCTTTTGTTCGGACTAGTAACCACGCGAGACCTTGCATAATTGATTGAGAGTTTGAGGAGGTAACATCGTCTTCACCATCTTTGCACGTTAATATGATCATTTTAGATTCACCATGTTCAGTTCATGTCCTTTGATTCATGAAGAGTCAAGTTATGCTCGGTTTGTGCCATATTAAGCCATGACCGAGTGATGTCCATTTTTATTCGGCAACTCTCGAGCGTTTTATGTTCCAGTAGCCATTATTGGGTATATTATGTTCAGTCAAATGATAGTTGTCGAGACAAGTTGTTTGGTCGAGGAATTGGCCTAAAGCCGTAGGCTACGCATGTAGCGCACGCCACGGCTCATCCTAGTTCATTGTGTAAAGTTCATAATTTTCGAGCAAATTGAGCATATTTGATCATGTTATGTTAAATCATGTTGAGTTATGTTAAAGTTGCTGGAGGAAGTCGTCGGACGGCCAGTAAGGATTGGCCGTGATAGCCATGCCCGCACGCAGCGGGTAGTGTGCGCCGGCAGTCAGACCGCGTACGCGGGTGACGTGCGTGCATGCCAGTCGGGTGTCGCACATAACCCTGACTGCGGTAATCAGCGACTGGCCAGTGCCTAGTGCACGCCAGTATAACCGAGCGCACGCCAGTGCGCGTATCTTCAGCCAGTCGGCCTTGGGTTGTGCCCGACAACACGCCCGAGCGCCAGTGCCGTCAGGGTCGCACGGTAACGCCCTTGCGGTACTCAGTCAGCGCCAGTCTGCGCATCCTTAGGCAGCCAGTAGTCTGTTGCGGTGCTAGGTAGCGTCCGACAGTGCCCAGTTGCGCAAGTGCCATTGCACACAGCGCCCGGCAGCGCCAGAACACCCAGCCAGTGCGCGCAATACGCACGCCAGGGCCCCACATCATGTCTGCAGTGCGCCAGTTGCACGCCCGTCGCGCAGGCTGTGTCCAGTGGCCGCCAGCGTGCACGAACGGCCATGTCCGCGCCCAGGTGATGCCCAACAGGTCCCGGCAGTGGCATGCCATGCCCAGTCCAGGCCAGCGCCTACGCCCGATGCCTAGCAGGCCGATTGGCTGAACCAGCGGCCGATCCGCCGGGCCAGACCACGAGCTGACCGGTTCAGACTGGTTCGGCTTATGAGTTAATGTTTAATGTCCCGGTTCATGTTTAGGTCCCATTTTCAGTTAAATTCCGAGTACGATTCAGCTCAGTAATTTCATGTCAGTCCAATTCCATGTTAAACTGGTTCCGGTTTTACCGGTTAAGTCCAAATATCAAGTCAAGTTTCAGTAGAGCATCTTAACATATTAAACAACTATTTTTATCAGTAATTGTTTATATTATGTTTCAGTTTGATCAGGCTACGATTATCAGCACTACCTTTTATTTCGACGGATCAGGTGGGGACTCAGACTGGGTATTACATTGATTATAATTACTCTACCATGTTTGAGGTATGTATTATCATGTCATGTATCCGCTTGGAATGGTCGCCGGTCCATTCTGGGTTCTAGTGGCCTTAGTCTGCCCACTAGAGTGTGCACATGGTGTCCGGCATTTTTATGCTGGCATATGAGGTAATGGTCAGGTGATGATTATCAGGTTATGATTATTCAGTACCGGGTTTCAGTTCAGGTTATGTATATGCCAGGATCATAATATTGCAATTATTTTCACTGTTTACTTTAGTATGAGTTCCTACGGAGCACAGTGGACTTTAGTGCTCACGCCCCATGTTTATCTATGTTTTTCAGGTCATGGAGTCGGACCGGAGGTGTGAGATGGCGGTCAGTTCAGGATTATGCTTATAAAGTTTGAATTATGCGGGGATTATGCTTATAAAGTTTGAAGTTTGAATTATGCATAGCAGTGCTGTTACTATTCCCCGTAGTATGATTTACATGTTTTGCTGCTATGGTTTCCGCTGAGTTTTCACTGTTTGTCAAACTTAGTCCTTTTGATCCCAGTTATCAGACTGTTAGTCCGTTTTCTTAAAAACAAAAATTTTGGATTTGAAAGTAAAGTCAGGTATTAAGGTAGCACTCCAAATTAATATTTCGCAAAATTAAATGTTTTATTTTGAAAAACTTTGCGAAAAACGCACTCTGATTTTCATGTTATAGCGGGGTGTTACATATTATCTTAGTAATTATAAGTTGTAAGCTTAGAAACATTATGAGAAATTAAGTGAATGAGAGTGTCAATGATTTGCTTCCACTCTTTATTCCCCCTGGTTGAAATTAATGCTATATAGGTGTGAGTGATTGATGGAGAGATTAGCAAAGAAACAGGATAATACTCTCAATGTCAAATTCTGGTATGCAGGCATTGGCTCATAAGTTAGTATCTCTCTTAAGATTGTCATGGTGGTATAGACTAAATAAGAAAACTGGCACTGCTAGCTTTTAATTATTTTATCAAAGTCGTTATAACATGCTTCTTAGAAAATTCAAATAAAAATATCCCCAATTAACTCTGCTCGTTTTTTCCTCCATTTGGACATGTTATGATTAGACTACTCGTAGCATTCCAAAATTACATCTCTTACCTTGACAGGAAGTGGAGCAATGCAAGTTTCAATCAGTAGAAATTTACTTCTATTATTACAACTAAAAATATTCTAAATTTCTAATAATCTATGTTTTCACAAAATATCAAGATCCCTTCCAGTGAATATCCTAATGTACAATTATGACCTTGTGATCTTTGCATCGAACCTATGTGAATAAACGTGCAAAATCTGTAGTCATTCTCCATTTCAACGACAAAATCCTGCTCTAAGCTAACAATTCAGCAGCCAAACAGTTAGCTGCTATTTTAAATATGTCGTACCTAGTAAGAATGGCAGGCAGATTATGCTACATTCCATGTATATATTGGGCGACCCTCAGGCCTCAGCTCTCAGTCATGTCATTGAGTTACTCCATGCATTGATTGACATAAAAGAAAGAGTGCCATATGTATAATAATCTAATTGAAAATATGATTGCTCAAGTGGAAAACACCGTGAAAGATCAGAACAATGTTTATATAAATTCTATATACTCACCTTGCAATTGGATATAATTTGCCGTCTTGTTTGTGCATCAGAAAGAAGACCAGAGTATTTGATCTCAAAGTACACCCCCCGCTGCACATCAAAAGCGTAGACACAATAAGGATTCTGGAATGATGAAAACTGAAACATGTCGATCCCTCACCCAAGCTAACGCCATGGACAAAGAACATCTAAAATCAGTTATTCGGTGTAATTACGTCACATGTCATACAAACTAAGAGTTCTACACAATCAGAATTAAACACATCACAACTTCACAAATACAAAATTAACCTCTACAACCTTATTTGCGTTCTCACTTTTATAGGCCAAATTAGAGGAAAGCCCTTTTATGGTATCTCCTTGTTCATTCAAAATTGATTGTATTCTTTCGATTGTTGCTTCTAATTCTTGTATCATCACTAGTAACTTTCAACAAAATAAGTCAAAAACGAGTGGATAGGTATTTCAAGAAACATATTGGGTGTGGCTATATCTTCCACAGATACCCAACCAAATTCTTAGACTTCTTATACTCGTTGTCTTAGAAGTAAAGGGTAATTATTTTCTGTTTGTCAGAAGATTAGCATGAATGAATTGTTTGGATGCCTTTTTTACTTTTGCATTGACGTCCAATTCTTAACCTGTATGCTTGTCTTCTCTCTGAACTAAAATGCTGCCCTTGATCTACCTAGGTATTTACTTGAAGATATTCATTAATCAAGTAAATAAAATCACTAATCTATGCAATAATGTGATCAACTAAGAAAGGGAGAAATGACATCAACTTACCACATAGACACCAAAATCTCATTTCCTGATGTTATATGTATGCTCAAGCAAAAGTTAAAATAATTCGAGTAATATAACTCTGTTTCAAGATCCAAGCTAAAGGAGAGAACTGTTTCTCAAAAGAAAGCTTATACAAATACGTAATCAAACCAGACATGAACTAATTAGTGCGATCCCAATTTGCATCGAGCTTTTACCAATCATTTATATACAGCAATTTGCATCGAGATTTTACAATCATTTATATACAGCAATTCTGAAGCACGAAACAAGAGGCGGGCAATAGCAAAAGAAAACAAAGGAACCTTAATGGCGGCTTTGACCATTGGTTGCTTCAACCTAAATGGCAACTTGTCCGAGAAATCAATCGCGATCATATCCACCTACAAATTTAACAACAAAACACGACATCAATTAAACACATTACAGAGGATAGTAAATTTACCTAAGATACTCAAAGACATAATATACAACCTCTGCGGTTTGACAAGCCTGGTCGAAGGCATTCTGGTTCATAGGTCTAACAGCAACAATATCATAGCTCCTGATGATAGGGTTCCCCGCATTAAGAGCCAAGGCATGGGAGGCAATATCTACGATTACCGTGAGACGAGTGTACTGGCGGAAAGAGGAAGAAACGGCGATGTTCATGAGGTCACGGTGGAACTTAACGGCAGAGAAGAACGCGGAGGAGGAAGGAGTGAGTTTAGAGAGAGGGAACAAAGGAATGGAGCAGCGGTCGGACTCGGACATGACGCCCTTGAGGGTGCGATTGTATGCGACGCCGGTGTAGCCGAGCTCCATGGCTTTCAGGGCAAGCTTCAATCGACGACTCTGTAGGGAGGATTTGTCGACGGTATTGCGGTCAGACTCGTGGTAGGGTATGTTCAAGTCGAAGAAACCCATCTGCTGGAGCGGGAGACGGATGCGACAGTGGTGACGGCGATGTGCGAGGACTAGAAATTTCCCAGTATATAGTAGGTTTGAAAAGTTTTTGGTTTGATACTTAATTCTATATGTATATAAATAAAAGGCAAAATAGTATAACGATCTTTATGAAATTGCTAAAATATTTTGGAACTTGGCGGAGAATATCACTATCTTTCATTTCTCTACAAAATAATGCATGATTGTCGTAGACCGGCCATCGGTACTTACGTGTCCGACGTAAATTTATTACATGGAATTAAAAAAAAAAAAGGCAGAAAATGATTCACCACGTGTGCACTGACATGGAATGAACTATAAATATTGGAAAAAAAAGATTAAATCGATTCCTCTTTCACAAAACCCTAAATCGATTAGATCGATTCTTCTTTCACTGAGAAAAAAAAAAACTCTTTAAAAATAGCCTTAAATCTCAGCTTCCTTTGATTGTAAAATGCTATGGGTCCCCCAAGCTGGAATCCTGCTTCAATATCCGACAACAGGTAGGTCAATCCATCGCTTTTTTTTATGCTCTTGTAAGGAATTTGAAGAACATTGTATGCGAAGAATGTGCGATGCAATTTTTTATTTTTGGTTCATTGGATTATGGTTTAGGGTAAAGTAATGTTAGGACTGGATTCTGGCTAGGGTAAAGTGATGTTAGGGTTTTTTATTTCAATTTCATTTTGTTTTCTTTTCAATATGTAGAAACGATTTTGCACTTTTTATACACCATGGGGGAGATCTGTAACTATTGAGAACGCAAAAGAGTATTTTGGAGGTGATGATCATTTCAGATATGGGCTTGATATTGATGGGATTGGTTGTTTTGACCTTGAGGAAGAAGTTAAGAAAGTAGGATACAGTGAATGGGCTAGTCTTTACTACAAGATTCCAGGGACATCTAATTTCAAAATCATTCATAACGATAAGGAGGTGATGGAAATGATTGTTGTACCGCAGACAATGCAACATTATGTTCATATTTATGTGGAAGGTGGTAAGAAAAATGAAGCTTCAATAGGGAAAAATGGTGTTTGTTCTGAGAATGAGGATGATGAGGATGACAATGAGGATGAATATGAGAATTCAGGAAAGAATGTAGCATGTTCAGAGAGTGAGAATGAGGATGCGAATGATAAATCTGACGAGCATCCAAGGAACAATGTTTCTGGTTCTGAGGAAGATATCAATGATTATATTAATAATTATGTCATTGGAGTTCAAGATGAGCTTGAGCAGCCTGGAAGAGATACAAGGAGAGTTGTTTCTGCTTCTGAAGATGAGGTTGAAGATAATGACTACACACCTGAGGAAGAGAGTTCTAGTTCAAATGAGCTATCAGCTGATGAACTTGGCACTGATGATGAAGAATATTTAACTGCAAGGAGTGAAAGAGCTGCACTCAGAAAAAATGTACCTCCCGAGAATGACCAACATGTGAACTTTCCTTCAGAACAACATGAGACTTTGTCTGAAAGTCTGTTGTAGATAGCAAGAGAAGAGGCTTCTGACTAAGAAGACTCTCAAGATGACATCAACACTGATTCATCCAGCTTTGAGGGGCCTAGTGGTGATGATGAAGAGCTTGGGAGGAAGAAAAGAACAAAGGTTTTATTGTATGATCCTAAATGTGACCACATGACTTTCAAATTTCAATTGGGTATGAGAGTTGAAAGTGTTTCCCAATGTAGAGATGTCATTCTAACATATGCTATCCACAATGGCTGCAACATTCAAATATGGAGAAGCTCTACTATTCAAATTGAGGCCAAATGTGTGGATAGTTGTCCTTAAAAGCTATATGCAAGCACAATAAAATCAGAAAGTAGAATAGACATCAAAACATTGGTGGCTAATCACAGTTGTTCTAGGGACATGAGGACCAGACAAGCTAATGTCAAGTGGGTTGCAAAGGAGTTTTTGTATAAGTTCAAAAAAAAA